CACTCTGTTATCAAAGAACCAGGGATTACGTCAAGTAACCCAACGTTTTTCCAGTTGAAGACGTAAATGGAGCAGGAAAACAGGCAACAAGTGAGAGAGAAGCTTTTGATGCCAGGAACATTTTAAAGGTTTGATAAAATGCACTCAGTTACATCCAACCAGTCCTCACTGCTCGAATGCTCAAAATCCAAACTACAGTCATACACAAGGGATTTTAGAAAAAGCTATGACCTATAAATGAATATGTTAATAATAATTACATCTTGATTACTTCCTCTGGACACATGCAGTTTGATGGCTTCATCATTTTATCTGGGCTCCCACTACCCATGAGAGCCAACCAGTTAGTGGGGTTTTGTGATTTTGATCTCTAGGGGAACAGCACATACTCTGGCAGGATTATCAGGTTCGTTTTTGGACCGACTCAGTTAGTGCCGTCAGGTGTTGCACAAGGTGTTTTGATTTCAGCCTGGGACAGCGTGATCATGTTCCCTGATTAGCAGCAAGGTAAAAATAAGTAAATGTTAAAGCACCTGATCTCCTTAAAAGCCACACAAGGCAGATTTAAAGTCTCAGATGTGTTTACCTCGACTCTGCCCACTAGTGGAGATCATCCTAATTCATTCTGGTTGATTTAGAACCAACACTCTTTTCACTTATAACCTTTTACGAATGGGAACACAAACAGCTAACACATCACGCCATGCCTTCATTAGTTCAGCTAATTCAAAGACACGTGCAGAATGTGTGAAAAAGGAACTGCTGCTTCCATTAACAAATTAGCAGAAAAAGATGCAGGAAGGTGCTGATGATCATGTACACTTCATTAATTGATTATTAGCCCATAAACGTCTACACATTCAGGTTTGTTTTGACACAATGTCGAGGTGGAAAGACATCAGCAACTGTCATAGAGAAAAGACTGTTACTTAATGTATTGTTCATTTCCAATATTTGTGAGTGAGTCATTCTTCAGAGAACTATTGTTCAAATGGAAAAAATTCAAGATAGTTGTTAATCATACGAAAGGTACATGTCCTGACAAGTTACACATCAGTGTATAGTTTTAGTAAAGGCCTCAAATACATTGTGTTATAACACTACAATTAGGAAAAGACTGAAAAAGTGCAACTTGTTTAGAAAGACAGGACAAAAGGACCACCAAACACAGGAACAAAACCCAAATTCCTACCAGGAACTGGTCATGGCAGCATTGGTGGGTGTAGTTATGTGACCACACATGACACCTAAATTGATAAAATGCTCTCCTCTCTGGTTCAAAGGTCGTCATTAAGTCTTTTGACTGGCTTTCCTATGGCCCATATGTGTTTTTTTAATGACTTTTTTTGTTACCCGGATGATAAAACAGATTAAATTTAAACAAGGAGGGTTGTAAAAACTTTTTTTTTCCGTTTCAGAAATTTGGTTCTCATTGTTTTGGGGATTTTGAACTGAACACTGTCCAGCTGTCCCAGAGGTTTTCAACAGACTGTACTGGATACTACACATCTGCAGGGAGCATCAGCTTCTCCTGAAACTCAGCACATCTGAGCATGTTCTGAGGTGAGCGCTTGAGAAATGTTATTGGCCTTGTTGTCCAGTAGATGGCAGCATAGTTTTTTGGTATATTTTTTCCCGTTAAAATAGCTTGTCAGGACCATAATTTTTATCATACTGTATTAGTAACATTGTTTAATCATACTGTAAGTATTTTAAACATTAAAACTTGTCAGCAAATGATAGGAATTGCTTTGCCTTCAGATTTTCAATTATATATCTGTGTCTTTAGAAATGTGTTTTTTCTCAAAGAAATGCAAGTCAAAATCTGAAGTAAAAGTGCTAAAACACACAATATAATAGTTGCATTGAAAACTATACTGCTTTTATACTTTACCTTGAAAATTGAATACGCTGACTTCTATGGGCTTTACAAGTTTTTACTGAAAATGGAAAGATTTGTCCTGAAATAACCAAATTCACACAAGTCTCATCCTCACACCATTTGATGTCAGAGCCCCATATGACACATTCCAGTTTTTTTTTTTGGTTTCCTTGTTTGTGAGCTCTGCCATCCTCTCCTGTCCAGCCTCCCACATCCACAGGCCGGTTACTTTCCGGTTTCATTCACATTTTTTACATAGAAAAAAAAACTGAGTTTTCCACGCTAGTGCATCGTTTGAATTCAGGTCCTAATCATGCAGACTTTTTAACCAGTTCGAGCCCGTCGTTAACATGTGAGGGCCACACATTTAGTGTAACGCCACACTCCGCTGAGAACTGTGCGAAGATTTCTGGGAGCTGTTATTACTGTTGCTCATATGAGACAGAAATAGCCACAATTTAATTAGATTCATTATTGTCTGTTTTGGCTGGGACACAATCAAAGATGTGTTGCACAGATGTCCTTGGTAATGACTGTGCTGAAAATGCATGAAGGATTATTTGTCATCCCAAGAGAATATACTGAGTTTGTTAGATTTCCATATGACATGTTCAGACGTGATGTATATTTATATGGCCATATGTCCCATTTGTAACACAGATCTTAACAGCTACAGAAAATGTAGAGAAATTAAGATAGAAGGCTTTAAATGATCCCGCCCCTTTTTGCGTGAGTTGTCTTCACACATTTTGAAGGTTGGGACTTGGGTAGGCTGACAATCGGATTGTTTAATTATTTTTTCTCTAAGCTTAAGGAGATAGTTAAACAACTGGATGTGAGAACCAGCAACTGCTTGATTGTTTTCATTTCAGCAATGTACAAAATGATGCCCCCCCCCACCCCTGATAATAGTGACAGCAAATTAAAAATTCTAATTTGTTACATAACCACCGTTGATGTATTCTCTCAGTAAATAAGACTGCGACCACTCTTAATTAATTTGCTGTAGATCTTTTGCGTGTCAGAAAAATAGAAGTTTGTTTTTTCTAGTGCCATAAGATTGATATGAAATTATTTAACAGGTTAGCAGGACATGTGGGACATGAAAAAGCTCAAGCATCTCTTTCTCTTTAGAGTTTCAGATTAGAATCGGCACAGCCGTGTAACAGATGTTTTTACCTGATGGCTTTATTTATTTGTTTGAGGATGATTCTCAGATGATGGAATCTTGAATATATCAATCCCGTTGAGCAGCATTGCAACCAAAGGAAGATGTGCATATATTGCAAAGTAAACTGCAAGTGGCAGAACGGGAACCTCTGTGCACTTAGCTGTGGAAAGCACAGATGAATATCTTCTGATGTTTTTTATGCATTGCGAGTGCATCGAATGGTGAAATGAACCCGTCGTGTTCCCAGTGGAACCCGCAGACACCTTCTGATGCAGAAAATACATGAATTTGTTTTCATGCTTGGTTTTGTTTACCGCCAAGTTTCTGCATCAGACGGTGAGATATCAGCAGCAGATTGTCTGTGTAAATTACAAGCTGACATGGACTTGTTCCTTCCTCTGATCACTGTCAGCTTGAAACCCCACAAGCTTGGCTGTTTCACGGCTGCTGCGATCTGTACTTGATAATTTGTCAGAAACTTCTCAGGTCTTCGCACCTTTTTGGTTGAATTAACGATTTTGACATAAGATAATCAGTTTGCATCCCTTCATCTGAGACATGGCTCAGTGTTTTGACTCTGGAAAGAAGGTGAAATGACAAAATCACACAGTCACATGTGTCTCTGTGGATGCACTTGCTTTTTGCTGATAAATACACATACTTTCTTGCCAGTGACACATTTCTCACCTGAATTAGACATTTAATGTGCTTCCTGCAGTTTGAATACCCAATAACGTGCCTTATCAGTGTAGTTTGATGATTAAATCCTACTTTTGCTTCCTGTTCAAAGAGTAGAGGGAGCAAGTTGTGTTTTTTTTGTTTTGTTTTATAAATGATGTGCAATATCAAAAACCCGAATGAGCCCATTCCAGCCCCATGAGTAATGAAAATTCATATCCTGGTTGGAAGCTGTGTTGAGTTTTCTTGACCAAGCATAATTTTGTCCCTCAAGCAATTTGGGTATTTGATTTATGCCAGTTGTCAAAGTAGATTTTTTAAAAATTTGTAATTACAAGTTAAACAATCTTTTGGCATGAAGGGCATTAGTAAAAATAATGAATTTACGACAGATCTGAATGTTTAACGCAATAGCTGTGAGTGTTCATTAAATAAGTTGAGTTAATAATTTATACTTTAAGGTCAAGTTGGCCATATACTCTCTCATGTTAGATGTGAGTCTCCAGCAGTGCTTCACCACTATATGAAGTTCACGCTAATCACTCTCTCATACTCTCCCAGCCTTATTGGCCAGTTCAAACTAGAGTACTTGATATGTGTAATCTGTTTCCAGTAAGAAGGCAGGGGAATCCTTTGACCTCCTTTTTTTTTGTCATTCAGATGTATTTTTCTCCCCACCTTCCAGTCTGTATTCCCAGGTCAGCGGTTTTCAACTAAAATGAAGTAAACAGTCTAATTTTAAAGAGTTGCTCTGTCTGGTCTTCGTCCCTGAAGATTAGCCATCATGTGCTCCTGATCTACAGCTATCAGATGACAAACATCCAAAAATGACCAGCAAGCTTTTTTGTTAAGTGTACAGTTTATAGAAGAAGTCGTGGATTTTTTCTTTATTTTTAATTCCTGTGGTGCTAAAGAACAGCTTCACTCCTTTTGGCAAACACAACTCTCGGCTAACCTAGCTCACTTAATAACTGTGTGACCCAGTTTGAATCTCACTGAATCAAATCTATACACATGTATAGCAGCTTTACTTTGAGCAGTAAGTCATTTGAGATCATTCTGTGAATGTGTCCTGATACTGTTTGTTCATAACTCTAATTTCAAAATAACTTTGGGTGGGCTTCCTGACCTAGAAATTTGTTCTCCATTTACTTTTTTTTTTTTTTTAAATGCATACCCTGAAGTGTTTCGGGTCCTTTAACATGATGATTCCACTTCACTAAATAGAAAAATAACAATGAGTCAGTAGTCAGACTGATTTTAGATTAAAAAAAATAGATAGGATGAGTTGCACTGGAAAAAAAAAAAGCTACACGTCTTAACTGCTGACTTTTGTCTTACAGGTCCTTGCTGATGGGAAACGTTTCCTGATGTTTGCTGAGGGAGAAGCAGATGGGGGACAAAGTCCCATCAGTTCCAAACACGGGATGAAAAGCTCCAACATCATTTTGAATCCTTTATGGAAACCAAAACAGATTTTTTTTTTTTTTTTTTTCCTCCTGGCAGCATAGTGTCACGCATTAGCCCACAGCCTGTTGTGAATCTTTGTGTACCAGGAATTCTTCAAGCTGTCCTCTGGGTTATTTCACCATGTTACAATATGACTTGCCAAGATAACCGACGTGGCTCTTTTGGCAAGAGAGAAGGGGATGAGTTGTTTACATTTGTAGACAGCAAACATTTTCAGATAAGAACGCTTTCAAATTTTGGCTTGCACAGTCTTGTCTGTTGTGATTAAAATTAAGCTTTCCCACCCTCCGCTTCTTTTGTGGAGACTGATTATGTTCGCTGAAGGATAGATAAGATTTATCAGCAGAAGAGGAATCTACATCAGTTAATCCCTTTACTCATAAAGGTGCTGTTCCACAGCACGGGCTCGGATCTGAAGAAGATGTCGAACAAAGTGAGCGGGGTCCGCTTCCATGGTCTGAAAGGCAGCGCACCGCATAGTTTAGCCCAAGTCAGTAAACTTTCCCCAGTGCGCTGTAGCCTTAAAGCAATCAGTTTGTGTATTTACCACGTGATGTCATGTTACACCTTCATGTCTGAGCTTCTTATGTGTTATTAGAGAGGTGTTCTCGCATTCCTGAAAAGTGGTAATGGAAACCAGTGAGGAGAGTTCATGTGACTGAATCAGCTCGACATGTTGTAGGCTGACTTCTATCTGCGGCAGCGCTTGATTTTGTCGGTTAACGCAGCACAAATGAAGACAAATGAGGGCAGAGAGACAGTTGTGCAATGTAATGACTTAGATAGATGAATAAGTATCTCACTACTAATGTTTTTAGTTAAAAGATCCGACAATGAATCAGCTGTAATTCTGTGAAACTAATAGGCAATTTGTTCAGATTATCATATGGTTTGACTCTTTCAAATGCAACCTAAGAGCAATCTGAGTCCCACTGCCAGAGTTAGTGCGGACTAAACATTATTAGTCAGGTTCCAACATGCAAAAAAAACTAATTTATTTCTATAAAAACTCATTTATGCACTATTTGCACAAACCAACAGTACATTTACTCCAGAATCATTAATTTAAAGTACATTTAAGGCATTTCAATTGAGTTTCTATTCTCATATTTATCTCAGTGTCAAATGTGTCCTTTTTTAATTTGTTGACTTACATAGAACTTACAAAAAAATCAGTGTTGCTGTTATGTGATGTGCTTGATATTTCCTGAAATTACAGCTGAAACTAATGGTTTCATCGGATGATTATAAACCAATCAAACCCCCGCGGGTTATTATTTTGTCATCATTAAGTGACAGCGCGTTAATATATTTTGCAAACAAAAAGGATCCCT